CTATAATTGCTAACAAAACTGTTCTAAGAGACATGACGTTGCATTGTTGTCAAGCACTATATCTGCAACAACTTGTGAAATAACGATTCACCATTCACTAAAAAGTAGTTGATTAAAAATAAGAATTTGAATCTAAATATATAAGGTGTTGTTATCTTCAAAACATGAAATATGTAAATACCCTTTTCCATTTATTTGTGTGCATGTACGTAAAAAAATATTTCTTCTAATTTATGCTTTACAAGTATCCTGAATTTACTATAATTGAGATTCAAGTTCATAGCATGAGATTGTCATGACTACAACTGAGTCAGCCGACGCAACTTTCTCGGTTTAAAAAATGAGTTTGTTATGGATATAATATAACTTGTATGGACGAATTCAAAACGAGGCAAAATTGTTTGCAGGTGTGTAAGGGCGAAAATAAAGCGGGGAAAAAATAACCCTGTTTACAGTATTTTGTTGGTTTCATGAAATTTAAAACCAATACAAGCAATTAAAGTTTTCCTGGAATGACTCTAACTTATAGTATTCACGTTGATTATACTCTGGCATATACAACGTCCTTTTACTAGAAAAGGACATCAATGACAAAGTAAGAACTTGTATACTAAACCTAATGATAAAAATCATGACTTTAACTTTTATGTTGTCTGTTGATATTTGCTAGTATTTAGCAATATAATATTATCATTATCTGCATATTGTTCATGTCCTCCAGTTGATTCAAGCTCATAGCATGAGATTGCCATAGCTACAACTGAGACAACCAGCGCAACTGTCTCGTTTAAAAAAAATGAGTTTGTTACAATATATATTGTTCAAATACAATAGAACAAATTCCAAATCGAGGCAGGCTACTACAGACAAATAATGTGATGAAACAAGGATATCAAAAATCTCGTTTAACGTCAATATTTTGTAAATCTATGAAGGGTGCAATGAGCTTGTTTGTAAAAACACGCTATCGTTAGGTGAATGACCAGAGGAAGGTTTCTTGGATGTAACACCTTTCACTAAATTCAAGAAATTAGAAACAATTAGCATTGCTAAAGCTTTACTAAACGCACTGTCAAAAATGGTGAAAGGATATAGGACCAAAGTTATGATGGTACCCAACCTCTGGACGAATATCATACGTTCAAAAGAGAGTTAAAAGTCAGCATATCAATGCAAAATATTTTGTACATATTGCAGTAAACATAGGTTTAAGGTATACCTTTACTCAGCTGACTAAAAATTCCACTGATAAGAACGAAAAATCACCTATTGCACATTGTACACCTATGATTCTTGTGTTAAATTTCAATTTCAAATTATTAGGTCAATGACCTCGTTTTCAAGCTAGGGACTCCTGAGTATTTCTCGGGAAATACCTCAATTTTTCACACTATGACCATTTTTTTCTTCACTCACTAAACATTACAAGCAACAAAACTCTTTAAATAATGAAATATTATGGTAAGGGAACAGAGTTGCTCCACACAAAGAAATGAGTAGAGTTTGGGCCGTAAACGTGATAATTATTACAGTCCGAATTTCCTCTGTCATATTTATATTTTTTTCCTATTTTTAGGTCACCTGAGTAACTCAGGTGACCTATTGCTATCTGTTTTCGTCCGTCGTCGTGCGTCGTGTGTTAACATTTGTGTGTGAACCAATTTCAACCAAATTTGGTATGCAGCATCTATGGGTGCAAAAATTGTGTCGTGCGGGAAACGTGCGTGAATTGTGTCGTGTGTTAACATTTGAACGTTTTCAGCTTCTTCTCTGAAACAACTGAACCAATTTCAACCAAATTTGGTATGCAGCATCTATGGGTGAAGGGAAACAAAAATTGTGAATTGCATGGTCCCCGCCCCCCTGGGGCCTGAGGGGTTGGGCCAAAACCACTAAAATTATTGCAATCTTAAAAAATCTTCTTCTTTACTCCTGGACATCAAGCAGGCAAACTGTTAGCATGAATGTAATAAGCATTGAGTCCTCTACCAAAATTGTGAAATTCATGGCCCCAGGGTCAGGGGTTCTAGTGTTAGGGCGGGGCTATATAGATTATATAGTGAAAATGCATTATTTCTTTGAAAATCTTCTTCTCTGCTTCTGGGTATTAGATAAACTAACTAAGTACATAGTTATGATGAGCAAGAGTGCCTCTTCCAGATTTGTGAATTTTATGGCCCCAGGGTCAGGGGTTCTGGTGTTAGGGCGGGGCTCTATAGATTATATAGTGAAAATGCATTTATTCTTTGAAAATCTTCTTCTCTGCTTCTGAGTTTTAAATAAACTAACTAATTACATAGTTATGATGAGTAAGAGTGCCTCTTCCAGATTTGTGAATTTTATAGCCCCAGGGTCAGGGGTTCTAGTGTTAGGGCGGGGCTCTATAGATTATATAGTGAAAATGCATTTATTCTTTGAAAATCTTCTTCTCTAGCTTCTGGGTTTTAAATAAACTAACTAAGTACATAGTTATGATGAGCAAGAGTGTCTCTTCCAGATTTGTGAATTTTATGGCCCCAGGGTCAGGGGTTCTAGTGTTAGGGCGGGGCTCTAGATTATATAGTGAAAATGCATTTATTCTTTGAAAATCTTCCTCTCTGCTTCTGAGTATTAAATAAACTAAAATAATTAAGCACAAAGTTATGATGAGCAAGAGTGCCTTTTCCAAAATTGTAAATTTATAGCCCTAGGGTCAGGAGTTTCAGTGTTAGGGCGGGGCTCTATAGATTATATAGTGAAAATGCATTTATTCTTTGAAAATCTTCTTCTCTGCTTCTGGGTTTTAAATAAACTAACTAAGTACATTGTTATGATGAAAAAGAGTGCCTCTTCCAGATTTGTGAATTTTATGGCCCCAGGGTCAGGGGTTCTAGTGTTAGGGCGGGCTCTATTGATTATATAGTGAAAATGCATTTATTCTTTGAAAATCTTCTCTGCTTCTGAGTATTAAATAAACTAATTAAGCACATTGTTATGATAAGCAAAAGTGCCTTTTCCAAAATTGTGAATTTTATTGCCCCAGAATCAGGGGTTCAGGTGTTAGGGCTCTTTTGATTATTCAGTAAAAATACATTAATTCTTTGAAAATATTTTCCTTTGCTTTTGGGTTTATGCTAATGATCCAAGTATATATATTTATGATGAAGAAAGGTGCATCTAGCAAAATGATTATTTTTTATGCCCCCCCCCCCTCCTGGGTCAAGAGGGGGGGGGGAGTTACATAGTCTGAAAACAAATTAATGCTTTGAAATCTGCTCTTTGGTATTAATCAACCATTTTACGATAAAATTTGCAAAATTTTGAAATATGTGGCCCCAGGGTCAGTGGTTCTTTTGGGGTGAGGTGCAAAACTGGTTAAAAAGTGGAAGAACATTTTCTCTTTGTAACTCTGATCTACCTCTGGATATTGAATAAGTAGAGTAAGCATGCTAAGTTTTTTAATTATGATAAGCAATGGTGCCTCTTTCAAAATTGTGAATTGTGAATTTCATGGCCTCTGGTTTAAAACGTGAACCAAATTTAATTGTTTGAAAGTTGTTACACAATACTCAGGTGACCTATAAGGCCCGTGGGCCTCTTGTTAATCAAATATTGCAAAAATCTGACTGATAAGAACTCTAAATTATTTATAGCCTCAGGTTACTTTTGTTACCCTCATTCTCATGGTATTAATATTATATGGGGTCAATGATCAAATTATTGAGATATGTTGACTGGAATGGTTTTTGTACATGTTTTAAATTTTTTTATGTCATAGCATTCATTTATTTGAAATAATTTATGAGCTTAAACACATATAAAATTTGTTAAATGATGTCTTAAAATACATGTAACCTTTACTTTGTGCAAGAAAAAATTTTTTTGACAAAAAATGAAAAATTAAAAATTTAGTCCGAATTTCCTCTGCATAGCCATACATTGAGCTTTGTTCCTGTATATTTTCTTCAAGGACCTACATATTAAATTGTTTAATTGATATTGAGATAAAACTTAGTTATTTCATCCATTTAGAACAATTTTTGATTTAATATATTATACTTTATAAAATTTCTTCTCTGATTTCTGAAACCTGAGTAAACGTCATCCTTAAGTGCCCAAATGCAGTAGCTGAAACAAGAATACAGTGAATGTATTGACCATATTCACGGGAGTTTCACTAACACTCTTGCTGATGTCCGCATGCAAAAGGAAATTCGGAAAGAGAAATTAAGGCAGAAAATGAAAATATGGACTTTGAAATTGTGTAGCAAATCCAATTTGAATCGTTTTTACGTGTAGGAAAACGAAAATATAATAATTATGTGTGATTGCGACCATAGTCAGTAATATATACTAGAATTCGCAGAAATATAAGGTAGACTGCTAGGGCCGATCCCTCCAGTAAGTTGTGCATGGTTCGGAAACTGTCAGAACAGAATAAGGTGGCAAAGCTGCATCTCTTCACTTCTTCATGTAAAATGAATTTGCTGAGAATCCGTCATTTCTATCCAAATCTTGCTAAAATACTGTCTAAAATGGACTATACTAGTAATCTATTGTTTCAACTGTTCTCAGTTCATTCCTGGCTATATTGGATCTCCAATTACTCGGAGTATTCTCCAAACAGAGCACTGTGACCTTGCTAAGGTTCATGTAGAAACGCTTTCTCAAAATCCTTCAACATTAACCAGAGCTTATATTTTTTGATACCGTCGTTAGATATTTAATTACTAATAATTGTTTAAACAAAGTTTAATCCACAATGTAAACATTAAGAAAAACAAATCTGAATTATTTCTTTTATTGATCAAGTTTAATTGTACATGACGCGCTTATGTCCAAAATCTGGATACATAGACAAATCAAGAGGAAAAAAAGCTATTACAAATCATATTTGTACATCTGTTCCTTCGAATTATTTAAGATATAAGGGTTGCCAAGCCAGGGATGAATTTCGTGATTCATTGACATGGAGCAGTTGTTGAAGCTGGTATTGTGTCTTTTGCTTTTCGTGCTGATTTTAATTTTCTACGAAATTAATTTGTTCCATGAAGGTAGCTCTGAAGTATCCACATTCTATAAATATGATACTTTTCTACTGAGGAATGACTCGGTTTTTATTATTGATACAGCCGGATGTAAAATTCCAAATTATCAGGCATTTGATTTTTCGATCAGGGAAAAAATTCGGCCTGGCAAATTTACGAATTGTAACAAGAGTCCTTCTTTCCTTAAAATACGATCAAACTGCCTTGAAATAGATCGCGCAGTCTTGCAGAAATCTCCGTTCAAAAACTCGTTTTCCTTCTGTCAAGTTCATAGTATATATCGGCCCAGACGAGGACAGCACCATAATTACTTCAGATACATACCAGAAAACGGAAGTCTGATGATCGGTGACCAATTCTGTCTCGATAGTGACATGGCAAGAGTTCGATGTTTTGACAGAAAAAACCGGACCATTTTCACGGAACTTTTCTGGATATACCAAAGGAATGATTCGTATGAAGAGCTCTGTGATAAACGTACGAGAAAAAGGGTAAATGATTCAAATAGTACCGAAAACCTTAGTGTTCTGTTGCTTGGTGTGGACTCAACCTCGAGACTAAACTCACAAAGATATTTTTTAAAAACGAGACAAATATTGGAAAAGAAATGAAATTCCTTTGAATTCAAAGGTCATAACATTGTAGGAATGACTACATTTCAAAATGTGGTCCCTTTGTTGACTGGAAAGAGTATATACGATCTGAAAGAAGATGGTAAATTTGGAAACACCACAATGGATGATTTTCAGTTTATTTGGAAAGATTACGAAGAGAAGGGATACAGGACGTTGTTTGCTGAAGATGCAGCACATATGTCTACATTTGACTATTTTAAACCTGGCTTTGTTAACTACCCAACTCATTATTATAACCGCCCTTGGTCCGTTGCCTGGTGGTATGCTGGCTCACCTCGCTGTATGGGTGGCCGTTCGGAACCAGAAGCAGTAATGGATTATTTAACAACATTTGTAGATGTGTATAAATCTAAGCCCTACTTCACTTTTGTGTTTCTTTCCTCGCTGACACATGAACGTCAGGAATTATCAGCGGAAATGGATGAAGTCTTGTCAAAGTTCTTCACCAAGGCTCTTGAATCAAATGCTTTTAACAACACCATTGTGTTTTTCTTTAGCGATCATGGATTTAGAATTAGTAGAACACGTTGGACGGATATTGGCATGTATGAAGTATTGTCGCCTATGTTATTCATCTCTATTCCTAAATGGTTTTCAGATAAGTACAAAAAGATAGCCAACAATCTACGAAATAATGCATATAAGCTTACAACAGTTTACGATATCTATGAAACTCTTCGAGATATTTTAAATTTCAATGTACAAGAACATAGTTCTGTTCTCAGAGGAGAAAGTTTATTTTCAAACGTCTCGAAAACTAGAAACTGCACTGATGTTGGTGTCCCTGAATCCCTATGCTCATGCGGCCATTACATAAAAATCGAGGATTTTTCAACAATTTATGCAGCTCGCAACTTATCTACAGAAATTGTTTCTAAATTAAATGATTTGTTAAAAACCCAATCAAAATGTGAACGCATCAGTTTGGATAAAACAATATCAGTTTATCAAAGAGTTTTGGGAAGCAAATCTTCATACCGAATAACTATACGAACACTACCTGGAAAAGCGTTGTTCGAAGCGTCAGTTTCCTTAATAAATGACACTTACCACGTGGGACAAATATTACGCATTAACAAATATGGCGATCAATCAATATGTTTGAACGACTATTTCTTACGCAATTATTGTTACTGTAAGAATACTTGAAAATTGTTGTTCAATAAGCTATTATTTTATCAGAAATGATACATGTCTCATGTCACTTATTATATCGATTTAATTATTCATAATTTGAAAACGCATACTCCGGTATTTTGATTATTCGATAACATACATATATACTGTGGTTTCATCAGCATTCGTTGAGCACCAATTTTCGAGGATTTCGTTGTTGAGCAGATCCACGAATTCAAATGTTCATCGAATTACGAAATTTGATAATTTGATATTTATTTGTATAGGCTATGCTTTTGTCCACGAAATTACGTGACCTCGAAAACGTCTGCGCTCTACAAAATCCACGAAAATTGATGCCAACGAACATTGATGAAACCGCAGTAGTTAGTGCGGTCCATAGTTTTTTTTTCTGTATACAATTTTTTCATACCTTTTTCCGTATTAAAAGACATAAATTATACAAAGATACTTTATTGTTACGTAGGTCGTAAATTATTCAAATTTCGGTGATATTGTGATATTACAGCCCTCATATAAAAAATCCAGCTTATTTTGGAATATTGATTGGTGACATTTGCTTTCTGTTGAACACTACAAGTAGATACTTACAGTTATAACTTAACACGATTCAGACTCAAATGTTCCTATTAGACCATTTGGAAGTTTGTGAAAAAAAATACTTTTGGTTTTAGAAAAAAGTATTATTCCAGTCTGTAACTTGCTGGTTGAGACTTTATACATAGTAGCAGATTGACAAGATGTTTCAATTTTGTTTTCAAAGTTTACAACTAGATTGCTTACTTTAGATCTTCGTACACACACTCTTCTATATCAAACTGCAATTTTGCTCACTTTACAGTCTCCTCTTAAATCTCTGCTTGCTGAAGTCTTTGATTTAATGCAAAACAGTACATCGGACATGTTGGCACATGTATTTGTAACTACACCAGTAATAACAAAAAGTGTTCAAGAAATTGTACAATATAACGTTTTTGCCACACAAATAAATTTTCAAGCAATTAAACAGGTAATTTAATGACATTAATTTCGAAATATTCAAATTTTCTTTCTTTCTTTCTTTCTTTTTATTTTAAAATTATTTTTTGGTCAATATTCAGCTGTATACCAATACACCTGTATTTATACTTACGTTAAAAACGTCGCTTTTCCCCACAAATTTCTTTTTTTTTTTCATTAATTTTCCAAAGATATATTTTTGAATTTCATTTTGACTGGCGTAGATACTATATCGATAGTACATGAACAAAAGACAATGATTTAAAGCATCTGTTGCATCAAAGGTCTAAATGTTAAATGTACAGAGGATACGTATATGTACGTGTGATATCTTCTCAAATGGAAGTGTTAGTCATGGAAAGATTCTTCAATTTGGTAACTTTTCTCATTATATTTGTTCTTATATTATTCATCTATGAAGATGGACTTAAAAAGGTTTACGATCTGCGAATATCATCACTCTATGAACACAAGAGTGAGCAGTGGCATTATGACAGTATGTACGTCATTGATACACCCGGATGTAAAATACCAAATTACGAAGCATTCGACCATACCATCCGGGAAAAAATACAACCGGGTAAGTTTATGCAGTGTAAAACAAAACCTTCTTTTGTTAAACAAAATTCAAACTGCATAAAAGTTGATCGAGTTGAATTAAATAAATCTAAGTACAAAAATTCCTTCTCATTTTGTCGTGTCCATACTGTGTATAGACCACGATACGGAAAGGACCACAACTACGTCACATATATAAATGAACAAATATTGACCAACGAAACGTGTGTTGAAAGTGACATGGTGAGAGTTCAATGCTTTGATTTCAAAAATGCCACAATTCATACGAATTTTTTCTGGATACATCAAAATAATAAAACACTGGAAAAACAATGTGACAAACTTTTCAGGAAATGGTCGGAAAATGCAGACCTTGCCGAATCACTAAGTGTTCTTTTGCTGGGTGTAGACTCAACTTCCAGACTCAATGCACAAAGATTTTTTGTCAAGACGAGACAAGCAATGAAACAAAAATTTAATTCCATTGAATTCAAGGGCCAAAATATTTTGGGAATGGATACCTTTACAAATGTAGTCCCGTTGCTGACAGGCAGTAGTATATTTGAACTTAAAAAGGACGGGAAATTTGGAAACACGCCTATGGACGGTTTTGACTTTATTTGGAAAGAATTCGAGCAAAACGGCTACAGAACATTATTTGCTGAAGATGCAGCATGGATGGCAGTATTTGATTTCGTAAAACCCGGATTTAAAAACTTCCCTACTCATTTTTACAACCGTCCGTGGTCTGTTGCCTGGGAGTCCCTTCATTCTCCTTGTATAGGCGGACGGTCGGAACCAGAAGCCATTATGGATTATATGACCAAGTTTGTGAATGTGTACAAAAATAAGCCATATTTTGCCTTGGCATTTATAACATCTTTGACTCACGACAGTCAGGAGTTATCTGCAGAGGCAGACGAAATTATGTCCAAATTTTTCCTTAAGGCATTCGAATCAAATGCTTTAAACAACACAATTGTATTTTTCTTTGGTGATCATGGTCTACGGTATAGCGCAACTCGTACCTCGGACATAGGCTCGTACGAAGTACAGTCACCAATGCTGTTTATCTTAACTCCTAGATGGTTTTCCGAAAAATATAAGACAATAGATAACAATCTGAGAAAAAATGCAAACAAGTTGACTACAATGTACGATATCCATGCAACTCTGCATAATATCTTGAATTTCAGTGGAGAAATAGTGGAATACGATTTTCCTCAAAGAGGAGAAAGCTTATTCTCTGATGTTTCAGATACACGGAACTGTTCTGATGTTGGTGTTCCCGATTCAATGTGTACTTGTAGTCAATATGAAAAGCTGAATAATTTTTCAAGCATTTATGCAAAACACAACCTCTCTGTTATGGTAGTTAGAAAAATAAACAATCTTTTAAAGAATCACCAAGCTATATGTGAACATCTCACGTTAGACAAAACTTTCTTCGTATATAAAGCTGCTTCTATAAAAAGACTGCATGTTTTCAAGATAACTATTCGAACATTACCGGGGAAAGCCTTATTTGAAGCGGCCGTTGGCTTCGACTCATCCAAAAACGAATACAAAGTGGAACAAATATTACGTATCAATAAATATGGAGATCAATCAAAATGTGTGAACGACTACATGCTTCGAAATTACTGCTTTTGTAAAAACCAGTAATTTGCTTATTGTAAATGTTGAAATGTGAGTACCTGGAATTGTTAGGAAATATGTAATAAATTCTTGAAAGCTTTACAACTTTTCTTCGGGAAGGTGATTTTTGTTTATTTAAGGACCACACTCGAACATATTATGTGATGTCCAGCAAATGTCGAGGAATGAAATGCAAAATCAACAGATAAATGATTAAATCTTAATTAATATTTAAATTATTATGGTTTTAGCATAAAATGTATTTTTAGGAAATATGTATGCTATTTAATTGACAAAGATTCTTTATTTTGTTCTAGCTGTATGCATTTTGAAAATGAAGTGAATCATGTTCATTACTGATTTTTATTGTGTTGTTGTTGTTTAATTTTACAATATATACAACATTTATATAAAAGGTGAAAAGATTTATTTGAAACCTACTACTTCTCGAGCGAAACAAATTCTTGCCAATCTCCTTTGGTTTCAAATAATGTACAACGTATACGTTTGCACACGATTTTAACACACCAAGAACATACTTTTATATCGTTTTGAAAGGGAACAATCGGAAAAATAACTGACAAATTGAGTGACAATTAATAATTCCTTTTGACAAGTCAAAAAGGAAACTATCCAGTCTAAAGTTTTATTTTGGGGGTAAAGGTTACCCTTTTCTGGTAAGATATTTTTTTCTGAATAATTTAACACAAGGAGAATTTTATTTTACTGGGAAAAAAATCCCGTGTAAGACCACCGAAGAAGATTCTCTTCATATTCTAGTCAATTGAACAGATGTTCAAACTATTATCCAGTTATAATAAATATACACTGTATATATACTTATATCGAAGATGAAAACAAATCAATAAACTTTGTTTCTTTTATCGACTTTATGAACAGATGAGAGACAAATTATATTCCTCAATTTCGTTCACTTTGTCACGTCATATACAATACTTTTACCTGTGGTTTTGTCATTTTTTTTTAACCCCACCCACCCCCGTTTTATTCAAGCGAAAGGAGGAGGTAGTAAACGTGAGTTGTCGAGAGTTTCTTGGAAAACGTCTTTTAGAAAGACACATGAGACCAAATTACATTAAAGCTTTGTCCAAAAGCAATATGTATACTTTATTTAAAAAAAATATTTTCGGAATTGATTTTTTAAAACCTTAATAGGCATAAATGTGTGAATGCAAGGTGAATACCGGTAAACATATGTTACATTTTTTGACAATGAATTTAGAAATCCAATTTTTCAGGAAATTGATTCTTGATTTCAAACAAAAGTAATCTGAGTTTAGATCATTAATAATAAATGACTTGTTCAATTCGTGGTAGAAACTGATATAATATTTGGGTTATTAAAACTTTATGTAAATATGAAAAGCAAGCATTTGGATTTCTTATTTGGAATTTTTGCAATTTGATATGTGAATTGCGACTGATTGTGATTGGCACCTTTCTATTAATGCCATTTATATGCACGAATCCAACTTGTTTTCAACATATAAGTATTTTTATGCCCCCGTAATCGAAGATTCGGGGTTATGTAGTTTTACCATATAGGGTCTATAACATGATATTACCAAATTTACATAAATAATGTAATTAAACTGGATATTGAGTAAACCAAATTTTCTCTGTTTTTCTTAAATTTTTAGGATATATTAGTTATTTTTAAATGCTTCCTTTATTTAAATTTTTCTCGTATTTTTCACGTATAATAAAGTAGTCATATAAAGATACAAAATGATACAAAAACAAAAAGTTTTGATCGTTTACTGAGAGGGGAAAAAAACCAAACACTTTCTTGCAGAATTTTGGCTGAAATCTGTTATTAAATCGGAAGCTCTTAAAAGCTAACATAACTGTAGTTTGTTTGGTAAATCATATTTATTTGATATATTTTAAAACTTTAGTCCCTATTTATTAATTTAACTTACATTTGAAAATTTCTTCAAGTCTTTGATTGTGTAAAAATTGTAACTAAATTCATTGTTGTATAGTAATATTGAGAAGCAGAAAAGAAGTTATTTTCATACACCACCTTTCCGCCAAAAATATAGTCCCGCTAGATTTCAAACTCAGTTTACCGTTTCTATTTAAAGTTGTACAATTGTAATTAGGAAAGAAAAATATGATATTTTTTAACTCTTAATCTAAATATATAAGACATATAAGCAAATAAATTTTGAATATTTCATCAAGTCAGAAACCAGACAAGAATCCTACCTTAACTTTGGCTATAACTTTTAAGTGGATGGGGTTAAGGCATTCAGATTTCACAAATGTATTCCTTGTGACAAGACCTTTCTACGGGTACCACTATATCTGACCTCGAGATATTTGAGGTCTTGTCACAGTGAATACACATATGAAGTATGAAAGCCCTAGCATCATCCATTCAAAAGTTATGACCAAGGTTAAATTTCGGAAATTTTTGGTAAAAATGGGTTAAACTCAAAAGTCAAGGGGACCCAAAGAGAGGTCTTGTCACAAGGAATACACATGTGAAATAGGAAAGCCGTAGCCTCATCAACTCAAAAGTACATATATGTAATGAGCAAAGTTACTTCAGTATTGTTTTTGCGAACAAACAGACAGACAGGGCAAAAACTATATACCCATGAATCTTCGATTACGGGGGTATACAAAATCGATTACAACAGCTGCCATTTTAATTAAAGCAAAGATAAGTTTAAAGATTTTAGCGACGGATAATCAGTGTAAACAATAAAAGATTTGTATAAAACATATTGTTTGTAAACGGAATAACTTTCAAATAGCTTTGACAGACTTTGCACGCACAATCGAGTCTTATTCATTCAAGAGTAACCCGAGACAGACTTATTGATAACAAGCATAATGCAGCATGTATTTTACAAAAGAAAAAAAGTTGAGGAGCCATGCACAGTCAGCTAATTGAAGTATCATTCCTTAATTGTTCATGGACATGCCTTGTCAATAACACAACATCACCGTAATCGAAGATCATATTTAAAACATATACTGTACTTTTGAAACACTCTTGACAAACGTTAGGTATATTTATGTTACTCGACTTTATGGATACATGTTGGAAGTTAATTTACATTATACCTTGTAATCAGGAATTCTTGATTTAATACATATTAATATTAACTTGGTCAATTTTGAGCAACAGTGGTTGCTTGGGAATGTCCAAAACAATACAGAAAGTTAACATAAAATTTATTTACAATAAGAAATAATGAGGTAATAAATATATGCATCTTCAGATAATCACATTGTAAGTATAATGTTCCTAATCTTTCTTCTTATTGAGGACATATTAGACGCCGTTATTTCTTATTATCACATTGTGCACGTGTCTGTCAGGTAATGGAGGTCCATAAACAAGCCTCACCCTGAAAAAGGAGAAGAAATTAAATCTATCAGATGTAAATTAAAATGAATAAAGAAAATCCATTCTTACTTAGTGTTACATTTGAAACCCGTCATGTTTTAAGTTCAGGAGTAAGAATACTTGGAGTATATATTTTTCCAGAGGCACAACTGCTATCATGCATGTTTCTTCAAAGGAGAATAGTATCGGTATGGTACGTACATGTATTTTGATAAATCTTCTGCGGGCAATAACACTCATTTACCTGCAGTTTCTTTCTCTCAATAAAATCTACGAGGCGGTTAGTTGCTATAGGCTTTGGTCTGGACGCAGACGACCGAGGTATTGACGCTCGGTGAATCCAGAGGCTTTCCAAACAAACTTGAGCAGAAGGCCTTGATCTACAATTTCATATAATTTTCCTTTACCATTTTAAACAGATATTTCAAGGTCAAGAATAAATTTTAATAATGTAAATGTTCTACACTTCAAAAGGTTTATATATAATTTCTTTTTGCTGAGTATGCATTGTTACAAATTCTGAGTGAGTATTAGTCCCCCTGTTTACCGGGTACTTACTCAATGTGATCAACCAACATAACTTTGATAAGATCTATAGCCTCGTTTGAAATTTCTGAGAAGTATTCCTCTGGAAAACAGAAGTCGTTTTTGATTATGTTTGCGCAAGTCTCTTCCTGGCTCTCGTCAAGAAACGGTGACACGCCACTTAGTAACACATACAGTACGACCCCAACGCTCCTGTAGGAAATCAAAACAAGGTTATATGAGGTAAAGACAATTTTATATTAATTTAAATCGTCAGGCAATGAAATTGTACATTGACATTTTGTTCTCAACATGAAGATATCAATTTCTGGACATGAAAGATTAAATTCTGTATATTTTCTCTAATTATGGCTTTGTGTTCATTTACCATATATCGGTGAGTGTGGAAACGGGCTGTCCACGGATTATTTCGGGGGCTCTAAATTCCGCACTACCAACATAATGATGGACATAGTGATTGTTGTAGACGATCCTAGCATCACCCGAGTCAATCAGCTTAACGCAGGCGGATCCCATCACGTTCTGAACCATCAAATTCTCTGGCTGTAAAGAAAAATTTTTTTATATACTATAATATGGTAGAAGGAACTGTATTACATAACGTTTTTGTTACATTTTTGTGGTTTAGTTTCATACCTTGACGTCAAGGTGGATAATCCTGCAGTTGTGGAGGTACTGAAGGGCTGCCAACAGCTGACGGACATAGTCTGCAGCCTCGATCTCGTCAAATATCTGTCTCTGACAGATGAACTCGAATAGTCGTCCAACTTCCAAACTATAAAAGAAAACTATTAGTGTGTACTTGGAAAAAAGAAAAAAGTTTTTTGGAGAAGCAAAGTATGTTCGCAATACACAGTGTCCCAGCGATTGTCAATGCCAGTTTTCTATGGGATAGTGAAGTTGGAGGGAATATTGTAATGTATTTGTGTGTGTGAGGGTGTGTGAGAGAGAGAGAGTAAGGGGTGGGCTGGGAATATGTGTGTAACAGAAGTTACGCTAGTAAATATAGAATGCTCAGTTAAACGTGGTGCCTTTATATTTGACGTTCTTTAACCCTGCTACCGACCTTGCATTCCAACACCCCTTCTACGATATTGGATTAAACTTACTATTCCATGACGATGAGCAGATAGCTAGCTGTCTCGTACAGATCGTACAACTGCACGAGATTCTCGTGCTGCAGAGTCTGGAGTATGTTAAATTCCATCTCCACGTCTTCCTTCCGCGTCTGTCGTCTGTTCAGGTATTTAACAGCAACATACTGGTTGGAACACTTTTGTAGGCATTTCTTAACAACAGCAAATCTCCCTCTGCAAGGTTTTTTTTTAAAAATAATTATTATTCAGGATAGAAAGAAAGTCTAGAATTAAACAAACACCAGAGGATGAAAGTATAGTTTGATTAACTACGACGGACCTTCCAATTTCTTCCACCTCTTTGTAATCTGCATCGTAAGTTGTCTTCCAGACTGCCATGGTTCCATCTTCCTTCTCCGACAACTCTGAAAAAAATATCAAAGTTTGCATTAACAAAATGAAACAATGAAATTTCATACTTCCTTTCCAAATTGCCACTGGGGGTACTTTAACATTAAATGAGAAGTTATTATAATTTTCCCCCTAGTTTAACTTCGGTGCCTGGAACATTGATAGATCAGGCACCTCTCCCATGTCAACGAAGGTTGACGGTCCCAATCATAGTGATAATACTCTAGTATGGAAGTCTTATGAATGATATTATGAATTTCAGCTTGGATTTCTTTAGCCTTCAGATAACTTGAAGTTGGGCCGCTGAATAATCCTTATAAACACAACAGATTGAAACTAACCGTTTTCTTGCGGAATGATGATAAAGTCCGATTCGACACTAGGTTCGCTCATGCCTACACTATTATTTGAGCTGACTCGGAACTGGTAGGCGCATCCTGTCACTAGGTCACCTATGACCTGGGACGTGTTGGGTACATATGGAATGGCGGCTTGCCACATAGCCATCTCCCTCTCCCGTAGTTCTATTGTGTATCCCTGAATCTGACCGCCTGACACGGGTGTAGGGGGAGGGGGCCATTCTAAATGAACCGAGGTTCCTACTTGGTTTCGTATAACTGGTTTTCCAGGCGGCTCCGGTCGATCTAAAATGTGAAATTGACACGAGAATGACATAATTCCTATCTAAATTTGGGTGATTAAATGGTGTCTTAATGTTTGAAAGAGACCTTTGAACTACTTACAAAGAACTGTAACATGAGTGCTGGTTGTAACAGAACCTAGTTCGCTGTAAGCTGTACATGAATATTCACCGCTATCTGCCAAGGAAATGTTTTTCATCTGGAAGCAGAAAATAAAACTAAAAATACTGTCATCTTTTGCTTCAAGTTTTGCAAAATTGCAAAACTGACCAAATTATACGTCTATTTTTGGACTTTAAAATTTTTTTATTAAGGATGATCAAAATCATAAAACAGAACAATGACAATACCGTAAGAGTGACGAATCCATCCTCGTTACTGATTATTTGAACTCGCTGTCCTTGGAGTACAGGTGCGCTATTCTGGAAGGCCCACTTGATATCAGGCCGGGGTCTACCACAGATTCTACAGGTGAGGACCGCGGTGTCCCCCGCCTGGACCGTGATAGGGGTCAGTGGCTGTAGAACTGACGGCACCATCTCATATAGAAGGTCGTGAGACCAGATCTACAAAAAACAAAAATATGATACTGCTTATGATTGTGTACAACGGACAATCAGCCATTCTCTCAACCCTTTGATTTGTCCCCCGCTTTTGCGAATGCTTGGGGACATTAAATCTCCTTCGTCTGTCCGTCCTTCAAAAAAATTTAACATTGGTCATAACTTTTGAATGAGAAGAGATAGGACTTTCATATTTCACTTGATCCGTGATCTTGAAGTTTGATCTACTGAAAAAAAACGCTGATAACTTTGATAGAGAAGAGATATAGAGTTTTCGTGTTCTTTTCAGTCTTTTATGGTATACTACTCACTTTCTTTTCTCGTTCGTTGGCTCGGGGTAAAGTTTTACATTTCCTCTCAGGTTGAGGATTTGATTCAGGGACTTTTCTTTCAGGTCTCAACCCCTGCATTTTCATTTTGAATAGTTGCCAAGAACTTTTCCTGAAAGTGAAAAAAATCGAGCTTCACTGTGGAGAAAACTGCACACAGAAAAGGCTATTGTCCATTTATCGTCATATAAGTATATATATACATGTATTTCAATTTAAACAAGTTTCAAGGTTTCCATTTGTCAATTACTTAGTATCTTGTTTCTGAGAAGGGGGTCTATATTAGTTATTGGACATCACTCGTATAATGAAGATTTATTTTGATATGTTACGTTTCCTTACCGAAGACTGCTGTCGTCCTTTGGACCTATTGCCTGCATGGGTATCCAGCCCTCGGCAGCGGGGGAGTGCGTATTGGCGGGCCGGTATACCAGGAACATGCTCTGTTGGTTGGAACATACTACTTGGACAATTTCCCCACGTGACACTGAGATTTCATCCTCTTTGACCGCCAGGTAGTCATATAGAACCTTCCCAATATGTACCAGGTTTCCCTGATGCAGAATAAAAACATCTTATTGAAAATATGCAATACTATAAGTGCAATCTATACGTTAACATGAATTCCCCAAGAGAGATAACTCAACATTGATTGAACACTTTCTTTTAGGAAATCTTCATTAAGATGCAGTGATTCTTTTCATGGTTTACCTCGTATCACTGTATGTTTTTCTTTTACAGAATTACCATACATGTACAAGCAGAGAATACTTATTAGAGTGAGTTATCTCAAAATAAGCAAATGGACAGTGTCGACGATATTTATAAACGGGAGATCACTCCAAGTTAAAAATTGCAATTGTGAGATATTGCTAAAAATCAAATTTTATCCAAAAAAAATGTCTTCAAGATTTTAGGTACTAACCTTTCCAGTCTTTATTGTTTCTTCTATGTTTTTTTTTAAATATATCCAAAAGACTTCAAAATATCCATGCTAGCAACTGATGTAATTTAATGATGATTACCAGAAGTTTATACCATAATGATAATTTTTGACAGCTGATCTATATTTTTTATAAAATCATAATGTCAGTATCAGATTTCAGATCGTGTCCTGTTTACCATCAATGTAAATATAATCAGGGTGTGCATGTTATTGTCCATTAACAAATCACCCTGGTAATCAGGCCTTTGGTAAATGCTTGGAAGATTGAGGGCAAGCCTCGTATATACATAAGTAATCTCTAAATAAGCTTAATTTCATATACATGTACTAGTACACATACAGCATTAAAGCTTACTTACAGATTACTGGTATATGCAAAGGCTTCAAGCATATAATAAAATCTCATTAACTCCCACATTTTAATTAATTTATAAATTAAAAAAATATATATATTCTGTTGTCATTTTGTTGTTTGCCATTTGAGGGTATATAGTATTTGCCCTGCCCATCTGTTTGTCCACAAACACTTTTACCTTGTCCATAACTTTCAAGTGGATGGTAATGGCTTTCATATTTCACAAGTGTATTCCTTGTGACAATCACAATTACCTTTCTTTTGGTACCACCAAATTTTTAAATTGTGACCCATTTTAACCAAAAATGTCCTTACTTAACCATGGCAATAACTTTCGAATAGTTGGTACTAAGGCTTTCATACTTAAGATGTGTATTCACTGTGATAAGACCTTTCATTGGGTATAAAAATATTTGAGCTTCACCTTAGATATTGGCCCACTTTTAAAAAACTTTAATCTTGACAATAACTTTTTGAACCGTTTAATAGCACTAGGGTTTTTATACTGTATTTCACAGATGTATTCCTTTTGACAAGACCTTCCTTTTGTTACCAACAATTTTAACCTTAATCTCGACCTTGGAGTTTAGCTTTCATTTAAGAAAACTTCAACCCCACCATAAGCTGTCACAGGGGACATTATTAGCATTTTAAGAATAAGATTAAATGCATATAATAATTTTGTACCAGACCAAGATACCTTTTATTTCAGTAATGTTTATTCTATACATGTATAGACATTACATGAAAATCTGAACCCAGCTGTACAGTGTACACACTGATTGGGGAACTTATGAAAAATAGACCTTTTGTTTTCAAGACACTTAAAAGACTTCATAATCTATTTTGACCATAATTTCCCCATCCAAGTGGGATCTAACCTGTTCTTTGAAAGATTATCCTCATATCTCATTCAGAAAACTATGAATATAATATAAAAGCAATACATGTACATGACAGAAACCACTTGTTATCCTTTCTAGAAATTAATGTGAAGTACTATGAATCAAAGAGCATGAACAGCTGTTTAATTATCAATGAATTATCATTAAGATGAAACCCTTAGTTTCACAGACTAGAGAAAAAAATTATTAGTTGCATGCAAGAATTACAGCAACTTTTTGCATGCAAACTGTGCCCATGTTAGTTACAAATGGGGATGTTATGAAACATTCTGTTAATGTTAATACCTATAATACCTTCACATGTTGTCCTGGAATCACTTTTAAATTAAATCTAAACATCCCTATAATTTGCTGCTTCTGTTAAGAAATGGACAAAAGATGTTTTTCGTATGAGAACAATACTTTATTGTCAGCCAATGCAGAATGATATTCTGATAACAACAAAGCCTTTTGTAGCCATATAATCTACAAATGTTGTTCACCCATACACAAACACACACTTCCAATACAGCACCTCAGCATGTAGTATAAAAAGACCAAATTGAAATGTTTATACAATATTGTATCATGATATCTATTTTGATTTTTTTTTTTAGTGATGTCAACGAATAATCCACGATTCGACTATCAGTGGAATTGACCGATGATCAAATAATATAACAACATTCGAGTATTATTAATAAATAAATGCAATAAAAGAGTGATAATAAGATACTAGAGTTATCATTGATAAATGGAGAAACCATCGTTCATCAGAGACAGTCAAAAAGGTAAATTTCCATCATAAAACCATTGACTTTCCATGTAAATATAGAATGTACAGCTATAATAAGTGCTTCACTAATGTGTTAAATATTTTTTGTTACATGTAATTGTGGTTTAAGAAACAAAACATAAAGAATACCTTACTTCATTTATCCTCAAAATAAGAACTAAAGCAACTGTTTTGTAAATTCTGTTTTAACTTTTATAACAAATTGGAAGCAATCAATGAGTATAAGAATTGTAAAATTTCTATGCTGGTCTGTCTATTTTACAGGCAAGGTGCTGAAAGATCCATTTACATCCTCTGATAAATCTCCACTCAACACTATCACATATATATAGTATATATATAATAAATCAATAAGTTACACATGTATAGTGGTTTTCAACCACAGAATTTTCTTTCAATTTGAAAATGTTGAAATGTACATTGTTTGACTAAATATTTACTCTACTAACAATACCACAAAGCATTTTGAAATAACTGAAATGATCAAAACACATTTTGCAGAAAATATCAAAGATCAATTTATTACCTAAACTGTTTATTTTATGATTATAATTCATTTCCTTCATTTTTATATGGAAAGAATCTTTATAGCAGTATATGCCTTTAATACTAAATTAAAAAAAGAGGAATGTTACCATAGAAACATACATGAATGGTTGACTGCTTGAATAGCACTTATAAAATAGCATCACATCTAAGGTGAGCAGGGGCAGTGTAAACTGTTTCAATACTACAATATTAAAACAAAACATACAGCTGATTTTTCTACATACATAAATATGATATAACACATAATTCATAAAACAAGGACAACTTCAGCTGTTTTACATAAATACAAAGTTCTGTTAGCAGTGATATAATAGCTAAAAAGATAAAGATATAAAAGACTGAAGATCCAAACTTATTTGGCGACAGAGGAAATGTGGACTACCGAGTTTCACTTGTATATATAGGTTTACCACATGTAGAGAATACTGACAACTCTATAGACATCTGTACTAACATTTACACTGACTAGTATATCAGAAGTATAGGTAGATATTTCTAATCTAGCACTTTTAAAAAATCTTAGAAATATCATAATATTGCACACAATCAATAGATGAACCTTATCTTTTAAAAAGAAGTTACTATAAATACATTTGATTTTGTTCCATGATTTTAATTGATTCTTATTCTAATTTTTCTACACATAATCATGAAATGTTTTACAGACCATGTGTGACCTAGGCTGGTTATGATGTGCATTATAAACTTATGAAAAAAGTATTAGATGACAAGTGAAAATATTTTATCCCCAAATACTGTTCATAAAATAGTTTGTAATAACTATTGTCTCTGAATAGTTTGACAAACAGTCATAAATTGTTCATTTTCAGAACGTGGAGCAGTAGCATATAAGCTTGAGCAAGAATGTCAACAGATTTAAGGAATACTAAAAGACCTCGCATACTGAGCATGCAGACCGACTCATTATTCTGACAGTTTACAATTCATAATAAATTAATTCACATTATCACAGCCAATATCTATTCACACATTGTCTTTCACTTCTGTACTTTCACTTTGGATGTAGTTTCACTTTGATTGCCTGCTTTATCATTAAGATGTTTAAGTTGAATAATTACTAAAATTATACAACAATTTCCCCGAAACATAAATTCACAGCAAAGTTTGTGGTAATGCCTAGTTTATTATAGGAGAAGGAGACATCTTATTTCCTTGCTATATACTGATGCCAACCATCATTAAATACAGAATACTAAATGACAGGTTACTACACACCATATAAACATCAGTTTGTGGTTTTAATGTAAAGGTGTTCTAAAATGCACTGTGGCATTTTGTTCATTGTATACCAGATAATAGTGAACACAATATGACACATGGATTTCTTCTTTTGTTAGTATATGGGAATGAATGTTGTTACAAAGAAAAAAATATATATATAAGGGGGAGGTAAGTGTGCTTGACAGGAGTAACAATCACATGCCTGAGCAACGTGTGCTTTGCTGAAAAGGTGCACATTGTCCTATTTTGTTAACTGGAAATTTTTATCACCAGATCTGATGAATCGTAACCCTGAGATATAATAATTCATAGCTCTGTGCAGAATTCTCCCCTCCAGTTTCAAAAAAAAGGTTTTACGAGTCATAGTGATTGCAGGCAGATCTGATTAGGATTTTAGAACTTCACACAAAATGCATATTTTTGGTGTATATATATAAATATCTATGAATCTATCGTTAGAACTAATCACAGAGAGAATCCACATCACGTGCGAACTTGTCATCACAAAAATTAGGAACACTGGCTAGAAGCCTATCAGTGAATCATGATGCCTTCATATGCTGCTCACTTACCACAGGCTGCTGATCGTCCAGGCTGTTGACATGGTTACTAGAACCTTCAGAAGTCCTTGACCCACCAAGGTCATTGTTCTCAAGGTCTCCTGAATACATAGAGTCACTGTTTGATTTTTTATATTTGTGTCCTTCAGACTTCTTTGGTTTCGGGGAACTATCTCCTTTGTCGGATTTGGTGGGAGATTTTTGGGATGAGTCTTCTGTGAACTCCTCAAGTTCTGGTTTTGATGAAGGAGCTGGAATAGACTGAGATCTAACTGTGCTGTTGGGGGATCCCGCTGTCCCATTGGTTTTACTTTTAGGGTGAGGTTGAGAAATAGATTTGTGCAAGGAATAATCTTTGGAAGGGTTTGTCGAGATGTCAGGAGAAGACCTACAAAACAAGAGAAATATCATTCCAAGAAAAAAGTCACAAAACATTGTTTCTTTTGTATTTTTAACTGATTTAAAATCAGTTCTCTGCAATAATAAAAATATGTCGAACAAACATGCAGGAGTATACATGTTCATGATTTCTTAGGAACGCATACCAGAAAAAATCTAATTTTTTGTTTTTCAGATTTGCCAACAATTACCATAGCAATGAGATCCAAAAAAGTTTAATTTTGTAAATTTGGAAAATCATGACTTTTACAAGAAAAGGTTCCATAATAATTATTTTGATAATTAACTGCCTGCAAAAATTAAAATCCATGATTTTCTAAATTTAATATTTATAATAGACCCTTGATTTGCCAGAAATTAAAGCTGAAATAGATCATGTCTGAGAAGAAACAATAAATACATGTATTTTCAGATACAATTATTCTTCACTTGCATATATAATCCATATACAAAATCGTTTTTATTTAGGCAAGCAAACCAGACTTGGGTATGCTATACAGAAGAGAATTATTCTTTTTGAGTCATTTCTATTATTAAAATGCTCCCTTTTTGAAGCACCCATTTAAATGTCTAAGTGCTGAAAACCATAACAACTGAGAGACACCATGAAAGCAGAAGTCTTTGATGAGACTGTAGCTTTACTGGTGTGAATTAATAATAATCTGGATAAAAACTGCATATAAATTATATTTTCTTCTAAACGTCTTTTGAAAATATATATAAAAAAAATACTTCCTCCAATGAATCAAACTAAAAATATGTATGTTGCTCAATATGAAAAAATGTAGATATGAATGAATACTCCGTATAATATTTTCATGAACTAGATCATGAGTGCAAGATATCACTGTAGCACAGCATATATAATACTTTCCATGCAAAATTTTCTGATAAAGAAGAAATTCCAAATACAAAAAATTGAAAGTAAGGTACATTAATGTATGTCGTACAAATGGCATTTACTGATACACATGTGCTAAAATACTTCTGGAAATTTTATACTCTGATATAAATTGACAGGATTCTCAATTTCAAAGGGAATAAATCTCCTTAAAACAATAAATATATGGTTTAAATGTATAAACTGATTAACATATCATAATAAGCATTTCATATGATATTACAAGGTTTGTACTTTGTAGATAACAGAAAGTTCAATATCCAAATCTTTACCTGTAAGCCTGATGATCTGTTAATTCAATGAATTTACCAGCATATACATAATTTCTGTTAAAAATCCTAATGGTATTCAATACAATAACTTTGTACAGTGTATGAAGTCGGATGACAATACTCAATAATTTCTTTTAAATTACAGAAAACAAAAAAGCGTCTAGATAGATTAATTAAGCATTGAATTCATATTTTGGGATGTCTTCGGTCCTATAACACACCTGGTCGTGCCAACAAATTGAATCCAGGCATTAGTTACAAAAGATAAATGAAAAATCTATATAAAAAAAAAGATCATAAATGTTGTTCTATTTGGGAAATGCATCATTAGTGGTGATGGAGAATTTTTAATCTAGATTAAGTTACAAATTCAATTTAACAAGAGTAACTGACACCCCCCCCCCCCCACATCTGAGTGATATTTACAGAGAACTGATCTTAACAAGAAAAATCTATATGTGGCTAAAAAAGCAGGATTGGTTTATACATGTACATAAATGTGTGTTTGCTATTTTGGAAGAAATTTTTAAAGAATTTTCATCATTTCTAGTAAAACTTTGGTGATGGAGAATTTTTACACTACCTGAGGATGCTTCCATATAAATATGATCAATTATGGCTTTGTTGTTCTTATTTTTAAAGAATTTTCCTATACATCACTTGTAAAACTTTGGTCGGCCATTTTGGCCCCGCCCTAGTTACAAACTTCAATTTCATCTTTCCTGGCACAGTGGTTCTTGAGAAGAAGATTTTTAAAACATGCCACCAAATTTTCATTAATTCCCAATTATCTCCCCCTTGAATGAGGGCCCCCCACATCCCCTTTACCCAAGGATACTTTGTGGCAAGTTTGGTTGATTTGGTTCTTGAGAGACAGACAGATGGACAGATCTTAAAAAAAAAGTATTGAACTTAAGTTTATGTGTACTTACAAATCTGTTGACTGCATTTTTGTAGGATTAGTAATAGCTGCAAAATAATTAAAGGGTACAAATAAAATTTTAATTTTTAATTATTGAAATAAAATTCTCAAGTAATGAACAATAAATATGATGTTAAAATGCTCTAGCCTTTCAGGCAAGTAATATTACCCATAGTGAAGAAGCCCTGCATATCTAATATGGACTTGAGACTCGAGACCCAGTTGTTTTTGACTTCTTCGTTAGGACATTGAATGAGGTATTTAGCATCAGAGCCGGGAGACCGATCGGTCAGCATGAACCGGAGCGCTTCATCCGGTACATTAGGCTCCATCATCATCTGGTTTGTCTGAAAGGAACAGTTTGAAATGACTGTAAAGTTTTAAATATTACAGTTGCATCAAATGTGCAATACAAACATAAATTTTAAAGTCAAATGAATATCTGAATTCTGCTAAATTCATTCTTTAATCATCCTAAATAGCTTTCCTGAAAAATGGGGGTTTTTTGTGTTTGGCATATGAATACATATACTCTAAATACTGTATAACCTACAAGAATATCTTACATGTCAATATATAAATACATGTACTTGATTATAAATAACATGATCATCACTTTCATTTTACCTTTATACTGTTTTTGTAAATGTAGTTAGCATTAGAGAAATTTCCTTTCTTCCGTTCAATCTTTTCACTAAATATTGTGATCTGATCAAACAAAAACACATGTCTCTCTTTGAACTTGTGGTCTGTTTTATTCTTTTCCACCTCCGCTACCATAAGTGTGTCCTGTAAGAGTAGCTTCCCTTGAGCTGTAATTCTTCCCTACAATTAAAAACATTTCAATGCTCAAGTGCAAAATGCTTAAAACATATGTATTTGAAAAAGGTTTGCTTTGATACTCCCATTATCATCTATTTTTATTAAGTAGGTATTAGTGGTAATTTAAAGTTATCATACCATGGGTGTTTTATTTTAATTACTATCAATTAAGTTCTCTATTTCCCCTCATTCATTATACATATTTCAAACAGCTGGAGCACATTTACTCTGATGAAAAAATGCAGGCACTTGACATTATAAACATCTTGTCTCACAATTCAATTCACCTTTACCTTCCATATTTTATTTTTTAGACAAGAATTTTTTTGAATTGATAAGAAATGTTAGCAATGTAAATTGCCTGTGTAGGAATGCAGAATTCAGTTAATTAGAGTGAAAATAAAGTATAGCTAAACTTTTTATTATTTACATTTACTTAACGATTCTAGATATTAGCCAAATTTCTCCCCAGAAAATGTATAATAAAAAAAATCCAAATGTTTTTTCAATTGTCTGCTTTTTTAAGTTCTTATAAAAACATAAAAGCATGCAATTTTAATACTATGTACCACAGACATGGGGACATTTTTCGCTTATATTAGTAAATTCTTTTCACAAATGATACAATGAAGCTTAGACATGAAGGTCATTTCAATCTAGGCCCTATGTACTTTATTACAGCATTACTGTGAAATCATTGAGTTTAATGGGGCCCAGTGGGTTTAATTTTTATTGTTTTCAACCTATGAAGAGACCTATAATTTCATGTTACTAGTATCCAAAAAATTTTAAATACATTTTTTTTTACACATCTGCTCAATATTTTCCCAACCACAAAACAGTAGATGTAACAGGCTAGTACTCCATTATTTTTTTCTTGCGCACTCAGCACCAATAACCCTCATGCCAAGATTCCAATGTTTACATTATTCTTATTGTACAATGACTGAGTCTTACATCAAAGCCCTGAAGTCTTCCCACTTGCATCATGTCGTTGGCAGCTTTTGGGATCACATGCATCACATGGAGAGCTTTTTTAAGTGAATCTGTTGATTCCCCAGCTCTATCTGTGTATTTGAGTATGTCCTGAAATATCACAGTTGTTGAAGTTATACGAACTGCCAAAAATAGCTAGGTCCTTGTCATGATAATTCAATTTTATATTGATTTCTTGACTATTACAAAGGGTTTAAACCATTATCATTTTGTCCAAAAAAAATTAATGTAAAATATATATGATAATTAACAATAGTGTTCTATATAGTTAAAGAAGAGGCTCACAGGCCTTACAGGTCACGTGAGTATCATGTAACAGCCACCATTTGATCACCCCTTCCCACAGGAACCACTGACCCTGAGGCCACATATTTCAAAATTTTGGAAATTTTATCATATATTTTATTCATAAATGGTTGATTAAAACCAAAAAGCAGATTTCAAAGCATTAAATTATCTTAAGAGTAAGTACCCCCCACCCCTACCCCTGAGCCAGGGGCACTGAAATTAATCATTTTGGAAGAGGCATGTTTCTTCATCATAAGTATGTACTTAGATCATTGGCACAATACCCAGGAGCAGAGAAGAAAATTTTTAAAGAATTCATGCATTTTCACTAAAAAATCATTAGAGCCCCACCCTAATACCCAGACCCCCTGACCCACGGGCCCTGAAATTCGCAAATTGGGAAGCAGCATCCTTCCTCGTCATAACTATGTACCGGTATATAGTTTATTGGATTAATACCCAGGAGCAGAGAAGAAGACTTTTAAAGAATTTATGCATTTTCACTATATAAACAATACAGCCCCGCCCCAACACCAAAACCCCTGACCCTGGGGCCATAAAATTCACAATTTTGGAAGAGACACTCTTGTTTAACATAATCATGTACTTGGTAATCTATATTGATACCCAGAAGCAGAGAAGATTTTTAAAGAATAAATGTATTTTCACTATATTAACAATACAGCCCCAACCTAACACCAGAACCCCCAACCCAGGGGTGATGAAATTCACAATTTTGAAAGAGACATTCTTGCTCATCATAATTTTGTACTTGGTTAGTTTATTTATTACCCAGGAACAGAGAAGAAGATTTTCAAAGAATTTATGCATGTTCAATAGAGCCCCGCCCTAACACCAGAACCCCTGACCCTGGGGCCATAAAATTCACAATTTTGGAAGAGGCACTCTTGGTCATTATAACTTTTTGTTATACCCTTATAAATAGCTTTCTATATATTTACTACCAATAAAAAGTCCAACAAAAGAAATGTTTATTACATCGGTCTAACAATTTCACTGTTGACTGGCCTGCCGGTCCAACATAAGAATTGTTAGACCGCAACATCACTGCTACGTCACAAGTAATTAATCATCGTTCAATATTGGCAACACAGAAATAGCCGAAGTTAAGAGCTGTAAGAGTTGTTGCTACTAGCAAGGAAGAAGGGAAGAGTATGTGTTTTGTGATAAATAGTTTTTGTGATATAATAAAAATATAATTAATTTTGTTCTTTCTCAGCTATTGTTTCATATTTACTGATTAAGCCATATAAAGTAATGTTAATAAAGTGTGTATGGATTAAATTTTAAGTGAGCACTGGAGGATATAACAAAACAGTTATAGACTGGGTTCAGGCAACATATGATTTGTTGGACCTGAAGGTGAAAATGTTGCCCTTGGCCTGCGGCCTCGGGCAACATTTTTACCTTCAGGTCCAACAAATCATATGTTGCCCTCCTACCCAGTCAATAACTGTATAGTACTTAGTTAGTTTGTTTAATAACCATGAGCAGAGGAGAAGATTTTCAAAAAAATAATGCATTTTCACTATATAATCTATATAGCCCCACCCCAACTTTAGAACCCCTGACCCTGGGGCCATGAATTTCACAATTTTGGTAGTGGACTCAATACTGATTACAATCATGCCAACAGTTAAACTGCTTGATGTTCAGGAGTAAAGAAGAAGATTTTTAAAGATTGCATTAATGGTGGTTTTGGCCCCACCCCTCAGGCCCCAGGGGGGCAAGGACCCTGAATTTCACAACTTTTGTTCCCCTTTACCCATAGATGTTATTTGCCAAAAGTGGTTGAAATTGGCTCAGTGGTTCTGGAGAAAAAGCTGAAAATGTTCAGAAGTTTAAGACCGATTGACAACGAACGGCAACGGGCGAAAACAGATAGCAATAGGTCACCAAAAAAATCCTTGAAAGTGTAGTATTTCACAAATATTTACATGTATGATCACATACGCAAAAAAATAATCTCAAAACCAATTTACCTTGAGCAAGAGTTGATATTTCATAATTCTTTGGACTGGTTTGATGAGAAGATCTGACAGCTGTAGCCGATGTTTTAACTTCTGTCTGACCTCCTGAAATCAATCATACATTCTTATCACAAACACGTTTAAAAATGAAAGGGGGGAAAACATCATTTTACATCCAAAAATTCATCATTTTCAAGATATCTCTTAACATATTTGCTAACTGAATCTTATTTAAGTTTCTAATTTTCCAGCATAATACATACCTCAAAATATGTGTCATTATACTCTGCCACAATAAACTCTGATTTGGGTTTATTTTCGCAGTATTTAACATACATGTGCAGCCGCCGTTCCTAAAAATAAATTGATTGTTAATATCGTCTTTATGTTCCATGTCCAGCTGATGACCCGGGGATTTACATCATAAAACTTGAGATACATTTTCCAGTAATTCAATGTCATTTTCAATGATAGACTCATCTGTTACAGAAAACCAGGGTATACATGATATACATGTATTTCATTTTACTTACATATCTTGTAAAAAGTGTTCCTAATTTCTGTGCATCGTCAACACACTTTTCCACTTCTTTGCAAAATGTTCTAAAACAAAACAAAATGAACACCATTAGTTTAAAACTTTCTTCTCCAACTCTGATTTAATAATACAAATGTATACTTATTTCTAAAACTTATTCATGCATGTATTCATGCACTTAATTTCACACCAGATTCTATTAACGTAGATCAAGCAAACTTCAGTTTCCTTGTATTTTTGCTCTATCCCACAGAAAATGAAAGGGGTTAAGAAACTTACTCTTTGTGCCATTCATATATCTGGTGAATATTTCCAAACACAATTTTGTCTTTGCCCTCCATATCAGGGGGGATGGGGTTTTCTTTCATGTATTTCATATATCCCTGAAATATTTTAAAAAAAAAATTAAATTAAAAATTAAAAAAAAAATTTTCCATCTACACCAATTAAAATATAAATTTCCAAATTTTTAGCAGTATGCAAGATTCTTTTCAAGATTTTCTTGATCAAAATATCATTTGCTGAATCAGTAATCAACACATTACTTTTATATGTACGAGAATTATGATCAACACATTTTTATATGTACGAGAATTAATTAAAGGATTTTACTTGTACATGTGTACACAGAAGCTAAGTGTAAATATAGGCTGATACTCACATCTACCACCAGACCCAGGTCTTTGACATAGTCATTTTCTGTGTCTAATAATTCCTGCATCACAAATCTGTAAGTATCAAGTAATTAGAGAATAAATATACTGGGACCTATAAGCTTTCTAACTGTTCTTCTTATTAAATAAAATATGCATCTGTTTCTTATATATCTAGGACTGTATTGGTTAGTGTTTTCCTTTGGCTGGGGAACTAAAAGATAAGAAATATATTAACATTTTGTTTAATAATGTTGTTAATTAACCAAGTAAAGAAATATAATGTCTTAAACTAAAAATTATCGTGAATGGACAAAAATTACTCCTAAATTTTCAATGCTATATAAATTACAGTAATATTAATTTTCCTGTACAAAAAATAATTCTAGCTTTTTTTCAATTTACTGAATATGTGAAGGCAACTATTACAAATTTCATCTTCCAAGCAAGTTTTACCAATTTCTTCTCTGTCAAAATATCTGATAAGCAATGAAATAAAAAATCTACATTAATCTAGTCAAGGTTTTCCCTGGATGCTTTCTCTTGGTTACATAACACATATCAATCTCTGTCAGGGTATTTACACCAGGTTTTATTATCAATCTAAACCCATAAAATTACAGGGAAATCTGGCAATTAAAGTACTCAAAGTAAACAACCATTTCCCCCTTTAACCTGGCATTAAAACATTTGAACATTGGAGGAAAGTACTCCACAGTGCCCTTCCTTCTGAAAGTCTCTCTAGTTGGTTTTAGTTCTTAATTTCTAATGAAAAAAATCAAGGAACTTGCTATAAACAAATCAATAGAAAAAGTAAATATTTAAAATAAACACCATCTATAAATGGATGGGAGAAAATTTGATAGATTTGAATGCACTTCTTTTAGTTTAAATGATGTTTAGGTCATTTCATTTTTTGCAGATAAACTTTCTGGTTTCAAGTCTGATTTGCATGGTATAAAACACATGATGCATTAATTTCTGTGTGTCTAGGATGTGAAGGCTCATTAAAACTTAAAATGAAACAAGGATGTAGAATACTAGAAAAAAAAACACCAACTGTCAGATGGTATACACTGTATCATCTTCAAACTAAAGACTTTATAGGAAGCAACATTAAAATTTTTTTTTCAGAAATGCTAACAACTAGCAATAAAAATCATCCATGTAAAGTTATCAGCTGATCTCATCAATGTAGCATTTGATTATACCCTGTGTCTAAAGAACCTACAAGTAGGTGGGTTTTTGACTGACAACTCCTGCTAATGAATCGACACATCTTTCAAATGAAATGCTATTCTTTCAATTCCTCGTTTAATGATCAATTCTAACCATAGCATCTAGTACTTAATATTTATATAGGCTACTAATTTATTTACATTATTTAAGCCCCATATGCTAATTAGATAATTCACTACAAATCCCAAATCAAAGAAATAGTTAAATTTAACTTATTTAGAGCTTTAAAAATTACTGCTTTAGTAAGTATTACATGTAAAACAACCACACTGTATATATTGTTTACTACATTTCCATGGCTGTATTTTTTAGTATCATGTACTGTGTAACACAGTTTAACATGCCTCATTAATACTGAGGTTGATTGAGAGTTCTGTACCGTCACTGATCAATCCTACAGTGATTGATATCGACAGCGTACCTGCGTTTCGTGACATTCTTTTCTTTCTCTGCCTCCTGGTTTGACTCAGTCGTCTCCCCTTCTCCTCCCCCTCCTAATTCCGAGGAATCCTGTCCCCCCAGGTCCTCTTTGTCACCATTGTTAATATCCTACAACACATACACAAAAATTGTAAAATATATTTTACAAAAAATATAAATAAAGGTAGATGAAGCATTATATACTAAATAAACAGCTATTAATAGGTAATATATATTCCCATATTATACGTTCATAGGAAAAATATGGTTAACATATAATGATATAAATACTAGACTAGTTTAATTCTGATTTTATCTGCTTCATTTCTTTAATTAATCACCGGTTGTTTGTGAACATAAAAAAAATATGAAGTCATTCAATAGAGAAAAACGAATGTTTGGACTCATGTCAAAAGTAAGTATTACAGAATAGACAAAATAGATTTAGTTTCTTTGAATGCAGCTTCATAAATTATACTTCCGAATTTCAGAGAATTAAAATTAATTTAGCAAATTTGCTGGAATCCTGGTATAAGCCCCCCCCTTTTTTCAACAAAATGAACACTTGCTTTTTCTGTACACTAATTTAGTAATTAATCAAAGTACTCAGAAGTACAGAGAGCCGGGCTCATTTACAGAGTAGAATGCATTTCTTACATCAATCACGTTTATATTCTGTTGAAAAAATTATTTTTAAACTATCAATATAAATGATAAGACACTGATAGTGAGTTTTTTCAATCCTAATACCATGGTCCGATTTTGTCAGAATCAGAATTAATCTGGTATCAATGTAAACAAACAGGCCAGTCTGGTTCCCTTTTGCTTTGCCTCGTATGTGTAGAGAACTAATAACACTGATTATCAAAAATCCTTGCTTGAACTATGTTCTTTGACTTAGGACTGAAGTTTTCAAAGTCATTACTACTAATGTTTATTTATATAGATAAAAACTTTGTTTTATTTTTGTTGCTTTATTTAGCGTTTGTAATATCTCAAAAGCGGTTGAGAGTAAGAACTATATTTTTGCATGTAACTTTAAAATACTTGTTAAATATACAATTGCTCTTTGTAAGAAGTCATGTAGTAAAATATACATTCTCTGTGAAGTCATGTAGCACTGGGCTAAAGCAGCATGAAAACCTTCCTAGCTTGATTGGCATGTCTGTTTTACTGGCCCTTGTTGACAAGCCAAGATAGCTGCCAATGATATGCGAAGACACCTATCAACTGACTTACATAAGAAGGTTGTACAAACAACCTCTATGTATCCATTAGCACAAGATTTTTACTGAACACCCTATATCACAGTTTACTTTGGCTACAATGCAATGATTGAGGTATACTAGCAAAAAGAGACCTGTTTTACTTCTGGTTTTCTTCACACAAATAGAATACCTGCAGTTTGGGTTAATTAGCAATTTGAAAAGTAGAACTCGGCAACATAGGAAAAGTTCATAAAAAGATTCATGGAGATGTTTGTGAGTAACGTATATAACATATAACGGTTTCCACCCTCAAATCCTGATGCTCATAGTTTTCATTCCTGTACATGCCAGCATTGAACAACATTAGGCACTTAGAAGAATACAAAAGCACATGTACATAAAATGCATGGAATGAATGTCAACAATCTACAGATTCCTTTTTTTTTTTTCCAATTGAAGAGCAGTGCAGTCAGAAATAGTGCATCATCTTGGTTTATATATAAACAAATTGGCTGACATTCCATTAGACATATTAGAAGGATGATTAATAACATCCCCCTATCATAGCACAGGGAGAATAAAGGCATGTTCTATTGTGTCTGCAGCTGATACCAGGCTTGATCAATAGGGAAGAATATGCATACTTTGTTTTCAAAAACTAACAGATGAAAGACTGTCTGCTTTGTCAATATCATAACTGGGGCTTCAAAACAACACTGTGTTGGAAATTTATTTTAGGTTCTTTATGAGAATGTGTAATTTTTCAGAGGCTGTATATACGACTCTCTTCCCTCTCTGATATAATCAGCAGCCATTTGAATGTCAAATGAAGGTCAGAGTATAATGAAATGGAAACTTTTCGGTCTCTAAATATTCTGTGCTCTACTGCCAAAATTTGTTCTTTAAAAATTTTAGGGGATAAAAAGAAGCTAAAGACAAAAGATTGGATTCATTCCAGCAGAATATACTTAGGTATTTATGACAAAAAATTTCATATTGGATGAGTTGTGAAAGGAATGCATGTGGTCATGGGTTACAATACAACATATATTTGCTGATTTAAAATAAAAGTGGAATTCATACAACTGACCTAAAATTCCTTTCATATCATCTCTTAAATCCTGAGAAGTTACAAACTGGTACCTGCAGACACAGATCCAGGAATTGAAGTGGGGGAGGGGGCGCCCAAAGAAGCTTGTGGGTTCTCAAGATTTGAACAATTGTAGGGGAAAAAAAATGAGGTCTACTGAGTAGAAATTTTTAAAATTTTCTCAATGAAACATATGCTTTGACAATTTTAGAGAATGCACGCCAGGTGCATCCCCCTACCTTTTAAATCTGCCACAGGGAACCAACTGAGAGGAGATTTTAGTTTTCCTAGCCTATATATAAATTTTTAATCACAGATCACTGATTTCTATACTACTAAAAACAGCAGATGATAAAATTCAAATATTATCTTACCATATCTTTAAACATTTTCTCCATGGTAGCCGCTGAGGCTGGTCCAATAGAAGCAGGATTTCCTTCTGTAATCAAAGGCTGCAAGAACAAAGAACAATGCTATGTTTAAAAAAACATGAACCCTTTCCCCTCTTCTTGGAAATTTTGACAGTCTTTTTATTTGTTTGGTATGGTATTTCTTTATTCATGACACAGATGTTTTAATTGCAAAAATCAATCATTCACCTATATACAAGTGTCAAATATTTCACAGTCAATTCTCTAAAAAACATCATCAAACAGGACACCTTGAAATGATAAATTTACAACAAAAGTAATAGTTAAATGAAAAACTACAGGACATTTAACCAATATTTGATCTCTTCCAATTGTTCAGTAATTCTAATGGATTTAATTGTTTTCCCTCACTGCTCAGTGGCTAGATATCTATATGGGTTTTAAAATGGTGGCCTCTCCATGTGCATGAAAAATTCTTGAGAGGGACATATTACACAACAAACAAACACATTAAATTAATTCCTTCTTGTTTTCATGTAAAGCTTTGATCCCTAATTGTAGTCTCATTACCCCACCCCTTTTTTTTCTTTTATATATGACTAGTCATGGCCTAGCTGTTCATGAATAGAACATTTGTATTGACTTTTAAGACAAATAGATAAGATCACTTTGGGTCAGGAAGCTAAAATGGGATATAAGAAATCAAGAATGATATGAGAAAAAAAGAAGACTTTTCTCAGACCTTCATCTAGAAAATAAGGCACCATATCAATGATAATGATGTATTATCTTTTTTCCCTATGCTTATTTTAACCTAGGGGTATTATAAACAGACACAAGACAATGTTATGTGAAATGTTGCATTGACCAGAACATCAACAGATGCCTTGTGAAACATCTGGAACTTTTCCTTCACCTCATCTCTACACATTTACAGACACCTGGGATGGTTATTCCAGATTATCCAAAGGATCTTCTTTCAGGGAATCTTATGACAACACATTTTGACTTTGTTGTGTTGTCTACAGAGTATAGCCACACTTTGGGATCACTTTGCCGAGTGTCTGTCTGTCTGTCATACCATTATATTTTGAGAACTGTTAGAGGTAGAGATTTGGTATTTTGTTCATGGACTTCTTGGAAAAATATACCATGTTTACTAAACTTGTAACCTTTGAACTTGACCTTTGACATACATTTTGTAATATACCATGTAGATATTCTCTTCTACTTTTGTCAGTTATGACTGTGCATTTTAAAATGCTCCAAAGCATCAATTGAACATAACTTCTAAATTTTAAGAGTTAGGGCTTTAATAATTAGAATATTTATTAAATGAATTTAAAACATTGTACTTTTAAAGGTAACAGGAATTTTCTCAACAAAAAATTACCAGACTTCTTTTCAAAGTATTTATATGCAAGGAATTTACAATATAAATCTTGAATGGATTCATTTAAAAAGTTATGTTGAGTGGGAAATCATGACACTCTCCTTCAAAATTCTTTGCACCATTACTGTACAATGAAAATGATTTACCACAAGCATGCTACTTTAAGTATTTGTAGAGTACAATTTCTAATGCAAGATTTTGCAAGGATTACATGTACTGATTGCAATCTGTGGGTTTTCTATTTCATATATTTATTTTCTCACAGGTAAAGAACTACTCAGTAGTGCACTATCTTTACCAGGAAGGACCAAAGTTTGTACAAAAAAACATGCCATACTTAAACATAACTTAGTAGATCTGATCAAATGACATATGATAAATCAATAAATCTGTCTGTATCTAGGTTGACAAAAAATACAAGATTGTTATTTAAATAATCTCTGTTCCACATTTAAACCTTTCTTGCCGCAAAAATTAAATATGTAGCAATACCAGCTGTCACAAAGTCAATGACATAAAAGACTTTAAAATGTTTTAGATTCAATTAAAACATTACTCACATGTGAATCAAATGGCTGCATTGGTGGAGGCATTGCGATTTCTTCTGTATCGTCTGGGGACCTGTCCGCTTCTGCTTCCATTGAAGTATCTGGGGATACATTGGCTTTGAGGGGTAGGGGTCTTGTAGCCTGAGTGGGGACAGCATTAGTGGCCGTTATCACTTCCTGTTCTCCCTGTTCCTAAAATACACAAGACAGAAAATGTCATACAAGTATTTCCAACAAAACACAACATTTGTTGTCAAGAAAGAAAATGCCATACAAGTATTCTAACAAAAACAACTTTTGTTGTCAAGAAAGAAAATGTCAACAAGTATTCCAACCAAACACGACCTTTGTTAATGTCAACACAGAAAATGCCATACAGGTAATCTAATCAAACACAACCTAGGTTGTCAAGAAAGAAGATGTCATACAAGTATTCAAACCAAACACAACTATTGTTGTCAAAAAAAGAATTGTTATTCAATAAAACTATTCCAACCAAACACAACGTTTGTTGTCAAGAAAGAAAATACCATAAAAGTATTCCAACCAAACACAATCTTTGTGTTGTCAAGAAAGAAAATACCATACAAGTATTCCAACCAAACACAATCTTTGTGTTGTCAAGAAAGAAAATGCCATACAAGTATTCCAACCAAACACAATCTTTGTGTTGTCAAGAAAGAAAATGCCATACAAGTACTCCAACCAAACACAACCTTTGTTGTCAATATAGAAAATGTCATACAAGTATTCTAACAAAAGACAACCTATGTTTAGGTGCAAATGCTACCACATGATAGATGTTGCTTTAATAAATAATCATTTAATTCAATTATACTTTAATTACTTCACTCTTCTCTACTCTGCAGATTTCTTTCTGAAATTAAGATAAAAGCTACAATTCAAGTTATATTGTGCTTAAATGCCATAAAAGATTAAAAAATGTCAACTCTCAACAATTGTACCAGGCTATATAATAAAGCAGTGCCTATATACTGTTCATTAGTGACCACACAATATGAACCTCTGATTTTTGAAATGGGTACAAGGAAAATACAAACACAAGTAAATAAAGTTATCTGAAAGGTGAAAACATTGTCATTTTTTGGATATGTGGAGAAAGGCAAATGATAGCAATGAACTCCACAACCTTCAAGTCAATTTGTTCATATACAGTACAAAAAAAAAAAGCCATCAATTTGAAAAAAAAAATAAATAAATAAATCTACTCTAAAGTGATACATCAGGTTTTTGTGCATTTCTAAATGAGCAGGTTTTGTGTAGGAACAATTTCTTTGGACAATTGAATATTTTCATCCTTTATTTCAAAAGAAAATTACATAACTCTAAAGTGTATAAGTTATGTTAATCGATTAACCAAAGCTAAACATCTACATTAAATTCCCAGCTTTATGTCTGCCTGAAGTAGTTAGATTCATTTATCACACTGCATTTGAATTAGTCTTTACATCAGCTGGGTTAATGAATGTGCAAATTTTTACCTTGACTTTAAAGCTTATAGGTGTGATAGGACCATCTGCATTAGTCTACATAAAACACAAATAGCATATATAATTAGGACATTATATCCAGTACATTTATCAAATAATGACCTCTCCAGAACTGCCTGTGATGATTTAGTTGGTCACAATCAATACCTATAAAGTTAACTCAGGGAACAATGGAATTTATCCTCATCTATTAAACACCATGGATCAAATATTTCAAAGATGTTGTTATAAATCAAGGGAAGCAAAAACCCCAATCATTGTATCTGTATTAATTAATATGAAAAGGACAACTAAATTCAATACATGTAATCTCATTGAGGGGGACCATATGACTTTGATAACTTCTTAATTTGTTGTGTTTTGAAGGCCCTATTCTCAGACTTTTTCATTATTAAATAGGTTATTGGCATTCTACTGATATCCTACATTGTTTAACCTTGTAAAATCCCTACCTAAAACCATTTTTTTATAGGAGGAAGAAAACAGATTTGTAAATCAATATTGAAAGAATCATAATGCATTTGTTGTTATTGCCTAACATGAAATTCCTTCAAGCAGAATCTATCACATAGCACCAAACCTTGAGTTGGTCAACCAAAAATTCATGAATAATAGATTAACAGTAGTCTGCACAGACTAACTCTTATGAAAAATCACAGGGTACCAGTGTATGTGTTTGTGAATAAGGGAAGTGAGGTGCATGGTTATTACAGGTCCATTTAAAAAAATTCATTGAAGAGAATACTCTGATCATAATAAATGATATTACAATTTGACAGTGAAGTATATGCTTTAAAATTTATCTTGTTTAGATTTTCAAGGCATTTGCACATCACTATCAGAACATCGAGTGGACAAACATCATGAACATTTTAAGAATTCTCACGATTTTTGTAGGAAAGCCCAATTGTTGCCCTGACCGGACACAAAGTCAAAGACCTGTTTATTCACCGACACATTTTTCTACTAGGTATTATCAGGGAACTTGTTATCTAAGTTATGACATATATGCAAAACATTTTTTGAAGAAAAAAAGAAAACTTTCCATTGAAAATCAAAATATTTTTCATTATGCCAAAAACTTTGACACCTTTCAAACAGAATAAGGCCATATAATACCTACGTTAGGTGTGAAGTTCATTTGATACTTGTTGCTCTGTTTTCGTTGGCAGGGACAGAGAAGATGAAGAATCTGAACTATTGCTGTGTTGTTCTCCATTGCTAGTCTCTCTCTCTTTACTAGTATGTTTAATTAAGACCATATACAGTGATACACAACACCTATTCCCAGATTCAAAATATCAATACTCCATTATTCAATGCTAGTCTCCATGACAGTGTCATAAATTCCTCTTCATTATTGAAAATACAGTCTCCCCGATTTGTACTTAATCTATGTCCATGTTGACTGCGACTTGTAACAAGCAGCTTAAATAACACAAGTAGGTCCCACTTCCTAAACGTTAACACTGGGTAGGAAGATGAATCACTGTCAAATTTACTCCACTAACAGTCGTACATGCAATCTGCAGCGCAACACTAAAACCATAACGTTGTTCACCTTTATAGAGAAGACAAAAAAGTCTTTCCATTAGACAATGTACATTATGAGCCCATCACCCTGAATTGTTTAATTAACCCTGTCCTTGTGACGACAACAAAAGATTAAATCATATTCCAGCCAACCTTTAAATGGGTTAATGACAGGAACTCCAGGTATAGCATGACCTTCACCATCGACAGAGATAATATAAAAGTACCCCAGTCACAGCATTACTCTGTCTCCAAATATAGTCAGAACACTACACCCCGACAGTGCCAGTCATCAATCTAGTGTTTCACGGTCAAATATTCACACAATTTTCCTCTATAATTCTCTTTTAAACACAAAAATCATTTGGCATCAAATTCTACATTTTTGGTATGCCAGTTGAACCTTGTGATTTGCTAATCTATATCCATTCTTGAACACACACGTCATTTCGTCACCATTGTCTATTGATCAGTGAAGCTGTTTTCTTACAATTCATTCTAATATCACAGCGACAAATCTATTTAAATAAACTCAGGTATACAGCCTCAATAGCATATGGCATTCAAATGCTGCATTGGTAAACTACCCCCAGTAAAAATCAAATAAGGAATAACACACATGGAGGAAAAGCAAATGAGCACCTGCTATGTTTGATATTTTTCACTTCTATATAAATACTACTTCATTCATGGGTGTGGCATGTGCTGAACAGGTACAGTGCAAGTAATTGATTATTTCTCCACAAAGGCTATCACTTATGCTATTTACAAAAAATATACCTCAAGTATATAGACAAGAAAGACAAGTTAATAACATACAACACAAGTAATTTATCTGAAATCTACCAAATGAGCTATGAAATAAATTATTACCAAACAAGACTATTACAATGGTTTACTATTAAAAACACCATCTTAACTGAGATATAGAAACATTCAGCCAGGTTTATTTTTAAAGAAACAGTTTCTTTTTTTCCACATATTTTATAAATTATATGACATTTTTGCAGTCATATTCAAAATGATGGCTCCAAACAATACTTTAAATTTATGTTCTCTTTATTACCATTATCTTGCCAATCTGTAAAAAAAAAAAGGCTCATGGGCTATAATGGTCACCTGATTCATAAAATCTCCCTACTGCTTTTTTTCCCTAATACATTCCTATGTAAAGTTCAGTTCACACAATGTGACCATACCCTTACCTCTGAGGTGTCATTGAACAAACCACACAACTCAAGGATGCTTCCCTATAAATATGTTAAAATAAATTCTGGATTTGTTGTTCTTGAGAAAAAGAAGTTTGAAGATTGCATGATTGTCCTACACATTTCATCCAGCAGAAACAAGATTTTTATACATTTCCTGACTTGGGATAACAAGAAGTCAAAGATCAAATAAGGCCATAATAAATAAATTGCTTGATTCTCATCCGAATTTTTTTGAAAATCGAGAATATTTTTTATTTTTTCAATTTTGCAGATTTCTTATTGACCTGGTCAATCGGTGTATTTCCTACACATAAAGGTTCAATTATCTCTTAATTCACATCATCACCAATCTTTTTCAACCCATGATTGTTTAAAATATATACATTACTATCTTTTCTGCTGTCAAAATCATGTCGAGGATTTAAAAGAAAGTAGAAAGATCAAATAAATGAGAAAAACAGAAATAAAAAAAAATCGAGGCGGGGGTATAAAATCGGGGCGGCAGATGAGATATAATAAACATCATTTGTAAATATGATACATAATAAACATCATTTGTTTTGGAATATATTTCTGTTCTATCAAAGACTAAATCAAAAAAAGGTTCTCCATATTTTTTCTTTGCTCTAGCTCCTTCAAAGCCTCTTTTCAACCTCTATGACTAATAAGTTTATGTCCTAATTATTTCAAAACTTTGTCAGTTGTACTTTTATGAAAAAGGTTTCATAAAATGTATGCTTTGAATACATGTCATTCTTTATTGGTACAAAGTATTTTGCATCCAATGCTTGTCTGCAGAGTTCACAGCTTGTTTGTGTAACCATTATAACCTGCAAAAGTAATGATATTTATCTCCAGCTTGGACCAATTTCTGTCAGACAGGCTTTACCATACACCACCAGACAATGTAAGGAGGTAGAGGGATGGGATTCGTAAT